TTATCAACTGCTATTTTGTAACAGAAGATTTATGCAACCAGTTTAATACTGCTTGAAGTCGGATTATTTGCAGCAAATGAAACATTTTTAAATCTACAAACATCGTCATCAGCTTTTTGAATATTTTAGCACAAAATTACTTTTAATATTTAAAAATTTTAATATATTTTGAAGTAAATATTAAAATTATATTGCATTACTACTGAAAGTTTGTGTGCGTTTACTATTCGTACAGAAATTCTTTTTTTTTAATTTTAATAAAAATAAAATCTTAGCTATTATCATGGCAAAAAATTAATTTAGAAGGCTAAAAAAACCTGAAATCTAATCTATTTAATTAAAAAACTGAATTACTTTGGCTTTATCAGTTTTGTCAGTTAAAAAAAGCAAATCATCACAGTTAACTTTAGCGCAGTATTTTTCTAAAGTTTATATAACAAAATTATCCAAGTTAATTTATATACTAAAAATGTAAAAGTAAATAAATAATTTGCTACCAATAAAAAGTATCAAAAGTGGTCTGATTTGCATAAATAATAAGTTGAATTAAATTGTGCAAGGGTTTTAGCTAATTTTAATAAATATATGCTATCAAAATAATTAAATTAAATACAACGAACTGTAAATATAAAAGTAGACGAATAATAAAAACGTAAAAACAAGCGGTTAAGTTCAGGAGCAATTTATATAAGATAAAAAGGAGGTATGTCTTGAATGACTACCTTCATGGATGAATCCATGAATTAATTCATGAATAGATGGCTGGATATGCGTATGTATGAATGGATGTATGAATGGATGCATGGATAGATTGTGCATCATCCATACGTCCATCCGATGCTGACCTCAGTTTAACCTCATTTCTTTTCCAGGAAAGTACTTCTTCATCATCCTCTTCTTCTACGTAAAACAATCATTCAAACTTATTATATTCATTACTCTCACAACAAATTACAAAAATTACAACTACTTGTTATTTATGGTTGCTTTATGTAAATATTTTATGATAAATGTCGACTAATGGTTGCTGCTTCTGTTTCTACAATGAAACATCATAAGATTTAATTTTAGAATTGAACTTATCAGTTACAATAAACTTAACATTACTGATATCATCATCAATATCATTATTGCTTATTGTATTTTCCAGTGAAATATATACTGTTTTTGTTATTACTGTTGTTATCACTGATGATATTTTTGTCATTTTACTATTATTATAATTTTTTTTCCTTGATATGACTGCTGGTATTTGTAGTTACTGTTATTGTTAATAACAATGGGAATTATTGGGAAGATAATTCAGATGTCAAAAATAAGTATGAAACAGGAAATGCAAATCATTTGAAAACACAAGATAAAACCCTTCAGAAAGGGACTCATTCTGAAATATGTGCAAAAGAATCCAAAAAGTTAATCAAAATATTCGTTATCATTTATAATACGTTAGAATGAAAATAAATTATCATTATCAGTAATATAATAAAGTGAAATTGTAATGGTTTATGAACAAAAATTGAGATTGAAATAGCAAAATGTTGTAACAAATCATTACAAATTTATTTCTATTAAAAAAACTGGAATGATAAAGTTATCAATAAGTAATAAATTTAATTTCAAAAGTCTTGTTTTATTGTGATAAGTTTTTTTTAAAAATAAATAATAAATTTGAAAAATTGAGTAAATTTGGAAAGAAAGAAATAGTCGCTCAAAAGTAATCTTCAATACGAAAAAAGGTCAACCAAAATCTTGCATAAATGGGTTGACACTGAAAATAAGACAGACTTGAATTGGTATCTACCAACAACTTCTAAAATCATTTGTACTAGTAATATGTTAATTATTCAATCATAATTTTTAGAAATAAAATATATTTTTCAATGCAAAAACAATATTTATAATTTGGTTACTTGCAAGGATTAGAAGACAAAAAATTATGAATTAAGTATAATTACTCATTTTTGATATTCTATGATTAAGTACTTACTTAAAAACTTCAAGAAATTTTTATGCAAATTTTTTACCTACCACAAATTATTAAAAGTAGCAGTAAACAGAATGATTTTGAGTAACTGATTATAAATTAAGCACTATTTTTCTCACTGAAAGAAAATTGAAATAATAAGGAAGAAATAAAAGTTCTTTGCTATTAATAAGTATCATTTTTGGGACTAAGAATGATCTTATGCTAAAAAAGACTGGTATTAAAGGCAGAAAGTGATATTTCAACAAAGTCTACTTACTATATAATTATCACTAAAAGTATTCAAAGATTAGCAGTACTAATCAGAATAAAGTAGCATCACAAATAATAAAAATTCAGAAGTTGTTAAACTAGAAGGGACGGAAAGATTGAAGAAAGGGAATGTTTAAAAGGGAGGAGGAAGATACTTTCTCTTGGTCATCTCACTATATTCTACCAATTCAAAGGGAGATCTTATTTAATGTCAAATGATGTGGTGGTTGACCCGATGACCTATTATCATTTGGTATGTCAAAGTCGTGTGCTGAACTCACTGTCATCAGTGAGCTCAAAAAGGAAAGGTTATTCAGGTCAGGTCAATTAGAAATACGTCTTGCAAATTCATCTCAAAACAATCCTTTTTGTATCATTTCAATTACAATTACAATTTCACGTGATTTCTGTGTAAATGTCAAAATATATGGCAAATTCGAACATTTATCTTATAAATTACCATCATTTACTGAAATATTATGCAAGTGTTTGTTAAGAGATTATGCAAATTATAAGCTTTTGTTAAGATCGTAATCCACACAAGACAGTAAACACAGTAAATACCATTGCAATTTTCTTTTCCGACCTTTCTTCTTAATAAATACTTTTTGCCGTATAAAAACTTGCATAATAAATTATTATCACAAACTAAAATATAAATTTAATTAGCAGTAATTAATATTGCAATTATTTTTGAATAAGTTTGCAGTTTTTGATCAAAATTAGTCAGTCATGTTAGAAGAAAATGTTTCAAAATTGTTAACGCGGTATTTCACGCTTTGTGTCAGGAATTATTCATGTAAAAAAAACTCAAAATTAACATATTAAGATTATGTCGAAAATATCAGTGAAAGTATTTTTTAAAAGCTTTACTTATAGGACTGAAATTTAATACGTAATAAGAAATGAATCTGAAACGTAATCAACAACTGTAATTTGATTTCTATTTAAATTCTCGCATAGGTGAGACAACACTTTTTATGCGATACCAAATAATTGATACTAAATATTTTTTGATGAATAAGTTTTATAAATTCAAAAATGTCGCATTTCTATGTAAGTAAAGAAAAACCTTCAAATAGTTTTTGTTGCGCATTTTATAATTGCTTATCAAGTTTTTAATTTTTTTAGTAAATAATAACCTTATACTGGCAATAACTAAAAACTATATATATATATATATGTATCTTTATAATTCCTGATACAAAACTTAATAAGCAATGAGCTAGTGAAATATCCATTTGAATACACAGTAGTGATTATCTTTTGAAGTTGAATAAACTGTAAAAAACTTGAATACATATCAGAATAATATTGCTCAAGAAATCACAATTTTGTCATTTATTAAATCATGCAGTTTAAAGTAAATATTTTTACTTATGTTAATAAATAACGATAATTTTTCTACTTCAACATATATTACTTGTTTTTTAAAACTATTTATTTTTATTTTAATAAACACCTATTTCTTTGCTTAATTTAAGTAAAAAAATCGTGAGTGCTATATACTGTCAATAGAAAAACGATTAGTAAGCACAAATGATTGTAGTCAAAATAATTTGAGCAAGAAGCTGAAAATGTGACATGATTATCAGCTAAATTATCACTCTGGTCAGAGGTGGTAATATTGCTTGTTGCTAACATATTCCCATCTTCGGGTGTTTTGCATAAGGTTTCTTTTCGACCACATGCTTCCATCCAGTCCACAATTACTTTACTTTTAGTCACTTTGTAGAATTCCTCAAAAGGTATCCAATGACTTGAATCACTGATAGCCTCTAGCTCTTCCATGTAATTGGCCTAATAATATTATTCGTGAATTTAGTAAAACTGTATTTAGAAATTTTGCACAATAAGTAAAATAAAGTACAAGTATAATTTCCTCTTTGTTACTTTTCTTAAGAACATTTTGTTGTTGCTAAGTTGTAAATTTTTAAATATATCAAAAAATAATGAGATTCTTAAAAATCATTTAAATTGCAGAAATCGTTGTAATGAATTTTGTCATTGCTAATAATTTTTTTCTAACAATAAAATTATTTTTTGAAAATACTTGCAAGAACTGCTTTTTGCAACATTAATGCATGTTTTGGGAAAAAATTAAACATATATATATATATATATTTAGTTTACAACTTATAATGATGGCTTACTTGCTCAATTATGTGCTTATCAATGGTCAATGTTTCGTGAGTTAACAGTCGAACGGATTTTTTTGGTTGATCGCGATATTCTATCAAAAATCCTGATGTTGTATTCAAATAAGTTTGATTTATTTTTAACAACTTCATCACTGATAATGTCGTTTCCAAATGCTGCATATTGTTTTTTATAAATTAATTTGAATTAATTATAAAATTAAATATAGAATAAAATGTACAAACTTTAATTTGAATATATCCATGAAATTACTACTAATAATATGAATATTGAAATAAGATGATCAGAACAAAATAACTAAGATATTGCTTATCAATATAACTAAAAGCTACATAATCAAAACTGTTCAATATTTTGTGCTATGAAAAATAATTATGAAAAAACACAAAAAACGAATGAAAGTCAACAAAGTAAAATTTTTTACGTTTGAGCAAAAAATGGATATTAGTAATTAATTATCAATTTTTTGCAATGTTCATTGTGTATTATTTGAACTTTTATTCATAACTTTTCGTGAAAATTCATTTTTAACAAAAAAAACTTTACAGAAAGAAGTTTGTTACTCAAGGAATTCAAACTTTTAAGCTTATTTTTTGTATTCTAAAAAGAAATTTGCATATTTTTAGAAAAAATTTTCACAATCACTTTTTTTTTTATTAATAATATTTAATTAAAAATCTTACCGAAACATAGCCAAGAATTTTTTGACTTTTTTGACCATCAGCTATTTTTCGAAGAGCAGTGAGAATATGATTAAGCCAAACGCCACCCATAATATCTCGACATGGTTCATAGTTCACGCAAGTAAGAGTATGCTTTTCCATAAACATCATAATTGCTTCTTGTAGTGATTGCTTATCGTATCCTTCAAGAGTCGGTCGTTCAATCCAATCTGGCAAGCCTGTATTGTATAAGTTCTAAAATAAACTAAAATCAACGAGAATTATGCCAATAAAATATGCTTATACATATTGTTTCAATGCTTGGATCAGTTATGGAATTATTTTAAAAATATAAAATTAAGCAATAATATTCCAAAAGTTTTATTAGAAATGAGTCTTATCAGTTCTTGAATATTTACTATTATTATTATTTTTAGAAAATTTTGTAGCTAGTTTTTTTCATATTTGATATTATTTAAAGAATGTGTGAAAAACATTTAAACTATGCAATCTAAAATTTAACTGAAAATTATTATCTAAAGAAAATATTTAGCAAAATAACCTTTTACAATTAAATTTTATGTATTTTCAAAAAAAAAAATCGCATCATTTACGGTAGTCTGCAATATAATTAATGAAAATTTAAAAAGTAATCTTGAGTAAGATTCATAAAATACTTCTTGCTTTATGTTTAGTCTAATTTTTTAAGCTGTATTAAAGTAATTACTGTGAAATGTTGTATAATACTAAAGAAAAGCACTAATAATACTTAAATACTAAAATACTAAAATGTAATAATGCTACAAAAAAGTTAATTTTTAGTACTTTTGAGTTGTAAAAAGGCTGTTGCAACTAACAATCAAAAAAATATTATCAGCTAAATCAGAAGCGCTTTCAATGGATTTATTCCAGCCTGTATTTTGAGCAATGTATTCAAGTAATGGCAAATTCGAAGCGGTCATCTGAGCTAATTCAGGAAGATTGTCGTGAGCAATCGGTTCCCAAGCTGTAAGTATTTTTGTTTAGTTCTATAAATATCTGAAAGTAAAGTAATTATTAAAAACTGCTTATGAATTTTAGAAATTAATAAAAAAGTAGTCATAATTAGATAACAAAATATAATTTCTAACACATAAGTTAATTTGTAAATGAAAATTAATGACTTTTTTAAGCAGTAAATAAACCTTGAGTAATACCATAACGGTTTTATTTAAATATGTAATAGTTTTTTAATTCTATAATTGAATTGCTTTTTTTTCAAGTATCGAAAGTAGAAAATGCTATAAATTGCTTTCGATGTATGTGTAAACATTTTATTCTGTGAGAAATAATCAGTGAACTTTTTTTAGTATAAAATAAGAAGACTTCTGTAAGAAAAAGTTAACCTCTTTGAATAGCAGTACAGTTCGGGATAGAATATGTTCGTAGCATTGGGTCATCGATGGTGTAAGGTACTGGAGACCATTCTAAGGCATGGTTCCACTCCCCAAACGTATCAGGAGGATATAACCCTGCCATTATTACCTTAAAAATATTGAATTGATTGAAATAGTATGAAAAAATGAAAAAATCATAACAATCAGTTTAAAAAAATAATTATTATGAGTTTTTGGTAATTTTGAAACTTTATTAAGAAATTAATTAAGTTGCTTGAAATCTCATTTATAAAGTAGTTTAATTATTTGATTATTACTACCATAATTTATTACAAAAGAAAATATGAAAATCATTCAAAGTAATTTTAAATAATTTGGAACGTTTTGACCTTTAATTATTATAGAAAATCAGTTGTTGTTGACTAAAGATAAGAGATAAGATGTCAGGAAATGCTTCTGTTTTTCATTTTGTATCAGACTTCTGAAGTAATTAATCAGATTTTTACAAAAATTAATAATTAACCGTTTTCAGTTGAAAAATAAAAATATGAAATACCTGTAGTGTCATCTGACAACGATTTGCGCTGGATGTATAAAATGCCACCTCATCTCTCATATAATTATTATTAATTAAGCCACCAACAAACTCCCGAAGTTCTTTACCGAAACCAAAACCTTCACGTTTGCCAAACTATAAAAACTAAAATTATTAAAAACTGAAATTAAAAAAAGATAATCATTTATTGTTCTGATCATACCTTTTGGCTAAAAAAATACTTAAAATTATATTTGTAAAATATTTTAACAAATTAATTTTGATTTGAAAGAATATGATTGCAAGTTAGTTTGTATAAAATTAAGTTTTAATAATTCAAAAAGTGTTGAAAAATAAGCTTTAACCTGTGTTAGTTCATAATCTCCTTCGTAACCCCAAAATCTTGGATTATCTTTGAGAAATTTTCCAGGATAACGATTACCATGTCTTGACCCGAATATCAGCAACTTTGAATTTTCATCTATTACAACTGATGTTTTTGTTATTAAATCATCATTTGGTGGCATACCAAAAACAATACAAAATAATACAGCATACCAACATTGAAACATGTATTTTCTGCTTCTATAAATGTACA